GAGTAAAGTATAGACCGCATGAAAGCGATCTGGCGAGTGACGAGGCAAGCGTCGGTGAACCCGCTTCGCTGTCGCTCGGTCACTCGCGCGACGAGGCAATCCGCATGAAAGCAACGGGAGCAAGCGACATTGTAATCCAAAAGGAAGTGTCTAGAGTTCCGTCCAGGCGGAACGATGGTCGCCACTAAAGTAACGTCCAAGTTGGGTCTCGTATAAAGCAAATGTTGAAGGCTAGTTTCTGAAGGAGTAAAGCTATACGCACTCCGGAGTGCGCTTCGGACGGAAATGGCTACACGCACTCTGCGGAGAGCTCATGCCGCTCGGGTCACCCTTTTCGAATGGCACGTGTATCGCTGGGGAGCCCGCCTGCGTTCCCCCCGCTTCGCGGCGACAGTGTGAGGCTGCTAATTACAAAACGTAACCAGTACACGCCGCTTCGCGGCGTCCAGCCGGCAACCCAAGCCCCGCTGTCCCCGATCGCATCAGGAAAGGGAGTCCCGTACCATTTAGTTTTGCGAAGTTTCGTCGGCAACGAATCTTTTAGTGTTCACCGGAAGGGAAAAAAAAAAAAAAAAAAAAAAAAAAAAAAAAGGTAAATATTGCCAAATGCTTCGACAAAACAAAATGTTTGAGAAAACGAAACAAAAAGAAAGTGGGACCACCGCGGATCGAACCCACGTCCACTAGCGTACGAAGCTGACACCTTAACCACTACGCTATGCCACCGCTTAAAAGAATGAGTTGTTGTGACTATTCCTTTTATATGAGACTAGCGGAGTGCGTATAGCCATTTCCGTTTGAAGTGCACTCCGGAGTCCGTAGGCTTTATCCTTTCTGAAGTGGTGGTGTAGTGTAGTGGAAAGGTGTCTGCCTTACACGCAGCGGGCCCGGGTTCGAACCGCAGTGTGGGTTTACTTCTTTTTTTTTCTTCTCGATTTTTTTTTGTCGGTATTCACATTTCTCTTTTACAATTATCTCTGAAAGACATGAAGGCATGTTGTCGACGAAACTTCGCTGAACTAAATGGCCGGAGGTGCAATAGGGCATAGCGGGTTTGGGTTGCTGGCTGGGCGGCGTGTACGGAGGGCTAAGTGGGTTAATAGGGAGTTTTCATAGACCGTTTTCGCCGTCCCTCAATGCCCTACGCAGCTTGCTATGATGTCGGAACTCTACAGTCAAGGGCATGGGCGCACAGGCGCAGTAGCGGCTTCTTCGTTGCAGAGGGCTTAGCGGTGAACGAAACATGGTCTACGAAAACTCCCTCTTAGTTTTGTAATTAGCAGCCGCATACTGTCGCCGCGAAGCGGCGTGAATGCAGGGGAGGGGGGGGGGGTGTTAACGAGCCCCCCAATGATACACGCGCCGTCGGAAAAGGGTGACCCAAATGGCACGAGCTCTAGCTCCGCGTTCCAGACGGAACTCTAGTAGCAGCTATCGTTCCGTCTGGAACGCTAGCCACACCGTACGTCCAAATCGCCGCCTTCCCTAGGTTCACAGGGGCGAGAGAGGAGGGTGGGGGAGAAGGTTAGGCATATCCATTTCAGTGCTCTGTCTGGACGTAACGCTAGCCACAGCGTTGGACGTAACGCTAGACACCTCTTTTTTTTTTACTTTTTTTTTGTAGGGCATTTGACAATATTTACAGTAAGCTCTCCACGTCGTGCGTATGGCCATTTCCGGTCAACGTGCACGAGCTCGTGCCTATAGCCTTTACTCTTCATTGAATAGGACTGATTTGAGCCAGCACATATGAGAACTGAAAAGAAGCTAAGTGCCTCTGGAGCTGATTTACTAACTATATAAAAATATTTTTGGGTTAGATATATGTGAAGCTAGTCCATGCGCATACATTTTACAGATGCTGGATTTGGTATTTGAAGAATACACTGACCTTGCTGCGGACGACGAAATACATGACATGGCTAAAATCACTCTCCTGCCCATTGTAACTGTCCCAGAGGGTGGGCCAGATTAATGAAAAAAAGAAAAAAGAAACGGTTTATTACTAGGAATATAATCACAACTGTGATAGGCTGTGTCTATACGAGCGTTTTTTAAATTTTTTATTCTTTAAAAATTTTTTAATGGTGATAGCTATGTTAATGCCGCCTTCACTGTATGTTTGTGGAGCTTGGTGCCTGATTATGATTGGTAGAAAAGCGTCCTGTCACTTCTGTACGTCCGTCACTATCCAGCAAGTGTGACGCCGGCGCCTCCAGCAGACACGCTGTCTGTCGAGATAGTGGCGAAGGGCATGAAACACGGGCGTCACTTTTTTTTTTGCATCATAATCAGGTGCACCTTTCAGCGTGTGGTTTTGAGTTAAGCAAAAAAAGGAAAAATTAACAGATGAATATCTCAAAGCCTGTTGCTTTTTCGGGAACCGTGTCAATTGGGTTGGCTTTTATTAATGGCCACCTTTAAAACTACAATAGACCCTTTCCGGAATTCAGTCTGGCCACTTTGATCACTATCATCATCATCTGAAAACGCCATATGTGCTACACTAATGGCGGACTTCTGTTTACTGATGAAGGAAGTTGAAGATGCTCCTGAGCATCTTCATCTTCAGACCCTCAGGGCTAGGGTGACCAGACGTCCCGTTTTGGCCGGGACAGTCCCGTTTTTCAGGTCCATTTCTGCCGTCCCGTCTTTTTATCCCAATATAGAATCATGTCCCGTTTTCGCAGAAGTACATAGTTTCAAAATTGGCACCAAGCGAGTAGAAGCAAACTGCAACTATGCCTATTCGTTGCAAGTATATTTTACAAAACTAACCGTAGGTACTTTACAATATTTACCCAGAGAGTAAAATTTAGGACTGTTCTTGCCCACAAACACTTTTTCTTTCGCGAGGACGGTAGAAATATTTTTTTTTTAGTTACTGGATATAGCACGGATGTAGAATCATGTAGGAATAGCACGCATGTAGAATTTAATTACATTTTTTCTCAAACTTTAGTACCCCCCCCCCCCCCCCCTTTACCGCTGGGATGTCCCGTTTTCTACCTTGAGGAATATGGTCACCCTACTCAGGGCCTGAGGACATTGCAGAGGGGAGTGTGTTACAAGGAGACATCAAAAGCAAACAAACAACAATCAAAAGCAAACAAACGACAATCTTAAGAATGAAAAAAATACATAATAATGAAATGCTAAAAGTTAACACTGTTAAGGCATCGTTTAGAAGCGATGGAATCGGATATGGATGCCACAGATGCTGGAAGGTGATTCCATAAGACCGTCGTCTGAGGTATAAATAAATTATAAAAAGTTGTAGTGTTACATTGAGGAATGCCCATCTGTGGATGGTCAAGAAATTATGATATGTAAAGAGGTGTCAGTAACTTGTCACATAGCAGAGGATTATAGTAATAAATTTTGTGGAACAGACACACTGTTAAGATTTCCACGTAATGCAAGGTTAGGTAGGTTCAAACTTATTTTCATTGATGTTACACTGGCAGTGCAGTGATAATTAGCAAGGATGAAACAAACAGATCTGTTCTGAATTGCTTCAAAAGCCAATATCAACACGTTAATGCCAGGGTTCCCAATTCAAGAGGCATATTCCAGCTTAGAGCGCACGAGCGTTTTGTAAAGAAGCACCTTGAGAGATAAGGGAACTGATGAGAAGTTCAGTGTGATTGTTCGCCTGCACTCAAGCACGTAGACCAAAGTATAGGGTGGTCCAAGTCACCAGGATCGATATAAAATGGATCATAGAAATCGACACCTGCACGTAGCAATCTAGACTTTTTGTCAGAGGTGTATTTCACATGTCGCTTTCCTTTTGTAAAATTAGAAAGCGTAGCTCTCTTTCTGTAAAAAATAAGGCCAAGAAACTTGCCAGGGTCTACGGCGGACAGTGACGCAGACGACAGGGGTCTAGTAGCAAGGTGTGTTTGGCGTTCGTATAGATTGATGGGCTACCTCCTTACTGCGACGGCTTGCGACCAAGGTTTTATAAAATGAAGATAATCTTTTTCAAATGTACCTTCGGTTAAAAAATAAATGCGGGCAATAAAAGCAGAACTTAAAGTAAAAAAAAAAATGTGTCTGCATAACGACAGCGCTTTTGCTGCCAACGTGTCGTCTGCTAGCTTTAGCTGGTCGGCTGCACCGTCGGACGCTGCTCCCGATGCCATCTATGAATACGATCGCCAAACACGCCCTGCTACTGGGCTTGGTCGTCTGGGTCGTTGCCTGCCGTTAACCCTGGCAATTTTCTTGGTCCTATTTTTTGTAATTTTACAAAAAAAAATTGACCCGTGAAATAGATCTTTGACGAAAGGTTTAGATTGCTACGTGCAGGCGCCTGTTTTTATGGTCCATTTTAGATCGATCCTGGTGACTTGGACCACCCTATATATAGAGTATTGTATCGGGCACATAGGGTTTTGTCGAGGGGGGGGACCGCCCATGTCAAAATGGCATAGATGGGGGAGGGGGAGCGGGCAGGGAGAGGAGGTCCCAGCAAAACTGAGGATTTGGGGCTATGTGCTCGTATTGTATATGCAAGTACAGTTGCTGGTGGTGTGAGCTGGAATATGCAAGCGGTGACCGGGCTGCGCAGACCACATAGCCGCAGCAAGTGACTGGCCACAGCCTGGTCGTCACTCATGCTTTCCTGCTTATATCGCTTGCTAATGTATGTATCGAGGTCCTCGTTAGATAAACTTTGTTTCGTGTTAGTACTGGATACCAGAGCAGTTTGAGTGTTGCATTAGAAGGAGGGGGCCAGTCAGGGCCATGTCTTTTTCAAAGTGATATGGCTTGCATGCTCTACTGGACGGTGTTGCACTGTACTCCGCATATTATTCTTAGCACTCAACAGCATCTCTGTTTGACACTATGTGAAATTGCATGCTGTGCATGTTTGCATCTACCGAAGAGCTTAAGCTTCAAATTCGGGCTCAGATTATGAGCCACGAACCAAGAATAAGGTGCCGAATTTCTGTATTATTGAACACGAGCGTATTGGTGAAGGTTCATATCCACACACGAAAGGATAAGAAACGGAAGGTGGACAGGGCCGAAATAGGACCTCTGGAAAGATATCTTGGTTTGTTCTTGTCCACTGCGTTTTTTATTCTTTCATGTGTGCATATGAAAATTTTGTACATTACGATTTATACTGAATTCCTGAAACGGCGAGCATCTAGCGGCATTTATTAGTAATAAATACACCAAACCTTACTTATAGCATGTAAAGTACAAACCGTTATATCATTAAAACAGCCTGCTGGGGTCCTTAACACAAATCCAGTAACTTTACACTGCAGGGATTTCCTTTCGTTTTAGGAGGAGGCTTCATTGGAGACGGTGCGCACTGAAAACTGTGAAACCGCCCAAAGAGAGAGCTTGCCAGATGAAACTTCTCCAGATGACTCCTCTCCAGATGTACCATTGGTAGGCATCGAGCCCTTTGAGCTGTAAGTGTGTTTTAATGGTTGCGACTATAGAGGCTATGTTGTGATACAAGGCAGCCTCGAAATGCTTCTATTCCGCTGTCACTATAGAACGGCGGACAAAGTGGCATCAATGGAAACGCTCATACCAGCTGCACTAGCGTCTCACCGGGTGCCTACCGTACATGTGCGCTTTGCTTAGGGTGGTGACATCTAGCCATTTTGGTTCGCGTCTTTTTATTTATTGTTTGCTTGGATCACATGTCGGCTAGTAGCTTTACCTGCGCGGTGCCGTTTTGTTTCATCTACTTCTTTGACGCATCTCACGTACATGGACCATTGTGTTCTGCTGCGTTCCCTGGGCAATGGAGGAACCAGGCACGTATCCAGGGGGGCCCATGGGGCCCGGCCCCCTCCCCCCCCCCCCCCAATATCTTCCATTTTGCTGGGGCCTCCTCTCCCTCCTCCCCCTCATACAGCATTTGGCCTCTGCCCCCCCCCCCCCTCCCTCCCTCCCTCCCTCTTCCGAAACAAGACCCTGGCTAAGTGCCTGGGAGGAACACGGGCGCTTCACAAGACTGATACACGCATGTGTCCTCACCACATGCAGTTTATTCAGGGAACACAGAGCTGATAGCTCAGGTGGTAAAGCACTTGGCTCACACACAGTAGGCCCATAGTTCGATCCCTGGCAGCGGCAAAGTGTAACAAATGTTTTAGAGCATTCATCAATATCGACGACGGTTTCTCTACACCATCATTTCAACGGGGGGTGAAGAGCCCATAACAGCTATCGCTTTAAAATGAGGTTGAGAAAAAGCATGTGAGACGCCTATAACATATTTATTGTATTTCTGTTTTTTTGTTTTTTTTTATATGCTTCTACATAGCAACATTTTTTTTCTTTTTTTTTTAATAATCATTTTCTTATAAAATAATTGCACTATTTTTAGGCCTTCGTGTTCAGACGACGATGGGAACACCTTCATTTTCCCCAAGCTTGGAGCTCTCCATGATACGATCATCTCTGGCAAACCTCTGACATCTTCATCATTCCGAAAGATTGTGGAGCTCCTCTTTCGCGCAATGGTGAACATAACAGTGTAAGTAAGGTGGTCTCAAAATTCGGACTTATTCCTAGCTTCATCATTTCCAGTTCCTTTCATGGGTGACTTCTTTGTGGGCACCGGTCAACCTTTGTCTTGCTGTATCTTTCTGTATCCAGCTAAACCTATGTCTTAAATCACAGTATCGAAGCAGGTGAAACTGATTTTTGCAATATATTTGAAGTGGGTTTAATCCCTCTAACCCTCCTTGTATACAAAAAAAAAAAAAGTAATTCGGAAAAAAAGCTAGGTTGCTTCTTTCTGGTCCTTATCTTGCCAAATTTTGTGCAGTGGTAAACATAGTAGATTGATGGCTTATTTGCGTTGTTTCACAAGTGCATCTTTGTGCTGAATTTTAGGCTTCTTGGTCGAGACCGCTGCGCCAAAAATGAAATTAGTCAGTTCAGGCTAGAGAAATGTTTGGTTAGTTAGGTCACTTCTTGTCATTTGCTAGAAGCAATCCATGCCCTCGCTGTATTTACAGGTGTATGTGTTGCTGGTGTGTAAAATTAATGGAAGCTTTAAGTAACTTGCTCGTTTTCCTTCAATAGGACAACATGTCTCTTTGTCGAAATTCATATTACAAGAATTTGCTAAGCGGAAAATGTGTAGATATTCCTTTTTTTTTTTTAAATATCTGAAAATTTGGTGCGACTAGTTATAATCGATTGGGGGTCATTGGCATGTTTAAAACATTGATGCACTGTGTACCATCTGAACAATACCTTGCATCTTCCTCGCGTAGGCTCAGTCTGCATACGGGACCTATTGATTCACAATGTGGGTTATAATATTAGAGATTGTTGAGCCATAAGAATGGGCACGACTTTTCTGCAGGATCCCATCTCAGCACTTTTACTCCAAGGTCACTCAGCTACTAACTGACAAGTACCCTCAGCTCCAAGATGTTATAGGAACTGGATCAGTAAGCACATTTCTTTTGCACGTTTATAATAATAGCTGCGATCAATTCTTAGCATTGGTGCTTCTATACATCTTTCCAAAAAACGCTCCTAGGCCGCCGCCATGTTGCTGATGCTGATGCAGCTGGCCCTCTATCAGCTAGAAATTTTCTGCCACCCTCTTGGACTGTGAACACCCGCTCAGTGCGGTTCTCTACCTGTTTTGGCGGTTTTGCATTCAACGTTTTCTCGCCCCTCTTGAAAGTTCCCACTTAATTTTTTTTATGAGTGCTGCATACCCTTTCTGTGTTATCTTCCATTGTGATATATAAGACTGGTAAGTGCCTGCCATTCAAGCTTTTCTGCTCGACATTCATGGGAAACGAAGGAAGTGATGGACGTCGAACTGCCCTCAACGCGATTTTGCAAACATTCTTCTCCCCCCTCCCAGAGATAATCCGCATAGAATCCTCGGTCATCTCCAAAAATAGTTGTCTGGGTTGGGGTGGGAAACGGGTCAGTCGCGTTTGTTCCTTTACCTTGGTGCTTTAGTGAAAAAGAAAGCTCTCCCCAGCTCAAAGGTGAAAAGAGTATAGCTGGACGCCATAATTTCACTCCTTGGCGCAGGAACGATTCCCTTGGTAGGCTCCCAATAACTGATATCGCAGCAAAAATGCTATGGCTGGACCTAAATTTAAATTTAGATAGTTGTTCAAGCTGTGGTATTTCTTTATTTTACAGGACTCGTGGAGAGTAGCACTGCGGTACAAGTTCAAAAATGAAAGACGTCGCCTTTCAGACGACGTCCGGGTTGCTGAAAACCGTGCAAAATTTGGATCAAAAAGACCAAATGATGGAGGTGCAGCCACACAGCTGAAGCGGCAAAAAAAGATTAAGCTGGTGAGGGGCAATGTTTAAACTTTCCGGGATAAACTTGGAAGATCAAAAATTGCTGATGTGGTTCGGATGCGGATATCGTGTCTGCATAGTGGATGATCAAATTGTTATCTACGCATGGTTTTCTTTCTACTCATCAGTGTCTGCCTTAGAAATCAACGAAACGCTTCCATCAATCAGATAACGCGAATCGGGAAAACTACAATGGTTTATCCCGTCTCCGCGAGTAGGTGGAAGCATGAAATGCTTTCGAGTGGGAAGGATTCGGAAAGATGATGATGGCAGGGAGCTCGATTCATTCCGATTCGATGGTTGGCACTCACTGGAAGCTCACCTGAGATTGGAGCTCACCTGGAAGCTCTCAAGATCCCAGGCGAGCTTCCATTAAGTGTCAATCAGTGATTTGGAACCAGTGGAGCCTCCTGCAATCGTCCTTCTTCTTGGGTCCTTGTCTCGCAATGTCCATAAGATCTGAGAACATGCAGCACTCTAATGAGCAGAAAGAGTACTACCCTTGTCGCACTATGGTTTTCGAGATCACTGGCACGTAAAGCTCCTTGCACATCGCCAAAGAGCTTTGCACATGAGCAATCTTCAAGACTTCGTTAACACTACAATTTCTACCTGTTGTGCGACGGCCATGTTCAGTAGCATACTTGAAAACCTTAATCTTCAAACCGCATGTTAGCTAATGTATGAAACCATCGTGGAAACCCCACGATCGTGCTGTTGGGGCAACCATAAGCTATAGACATTTGCAGAAAAAGCTCTCTGGCCGCCGCCATTTTGCGAACCAAGCGGCCCCTACCAGCCATAAATTTCTGCCACCTGCCTGAGCTGTGGAAACCCGGTCAGCATGACTCCCCAGCTGCATTGTGCATTCAGAGTTCGCCAACTTTTCTTGGAAATTTTTACTTTATTTGCCTGTTTAGGATGCTTACCCTTTGTGTGCTATCATGCACTGTGAGAACCAGGGAATACCAGGGCTCATAGCCTGCTCGGCCTTCGCAGGAAACAAACGAAGAGAGTGAACGTCAAGCAACTCGCGAGTCGTGACGGAGGCAGTTCGACATTCTTGAAGGATTATTTCCGTTGAGATAATCTCCAGAAAGCCTTCCCGACTTGTGTTCCGAGTCTTCGCGAAAAATAGCTGATAGGGTCGGGTCCGGAGTGTTTGCTTTGAAGCTGTGCAAAAAAGCAGCTCTCTTCTACATGTGCCCAAAACACGCCGGATTCCGTCTGATCGTCGTGAAGTTACTATCGTCGACACTGTTTATTGGATATGCTGTGTTATTTGAGACCTTTCTCAAATCCTGTTCGGATAACGCGGCATTGTGGGGTACGTACAATATATGTTGTTCGATTGATGAGACTCGTTGAATTTCATTTTGTGGGCGAGTAAATCTATGCAGTTTGAATATCCTGTGCGGTCAAATATTTTTGACGGTTAAGATCTTTGTAGATTGACAAGGCGGAGTGTATGGTGCCGTAAAAAGACCAACATAAAATAAAACAAACATCCCAGTTGCATTCGTTCTGTCGCTCACGGACTCACCAAAACAGCTTTCGTTGCTTTGTTTTTGTTCTCAAAAATAGTACAGAGCATTCTTAAAAACCCCGAGAAATTCTATTTGCCATAGAATACAAAAGAAAAATAGAACACGGCAATTTAGCCTCCACCAGCGTCCGAAAGTGTGCCCACGCAGGCTGCCACAGCCCACTGACGAGAAACTCCACAGCTCAGCGCAGTCTGGCAACACTGACTTATCCTCTCAAAACCAGGGATGCCTGCTGTAAATCGCTTCGTTCGAGACTGCCGCTTGAAAGGTCTATAGGCAACTTTCAAAAATCCTGCCATGCAACATTGCATGCGTTGCACGCTCGGAACAGTTGGCTGCGAAGCTGAGTGACATGGTTTCAGTCGAACAGGCGTTGTCTCTGCTTGCGCGACGAAACATGTGCAATCGCAAGTATGCTGAAGTTTCTCTCGCGTAAAACATCAACCAAGGCACCTGCAATTTTTTTGCTTAAAACCTGGCATGCTCGAAACCAATAAAATAGTGGCCAGTGTTTTTTTAATTGCTTGGCGACATTTATGGTATTTTACACTTGTGGGATGTCTCAGTTGTGAAAATGAAGTAGCGAGTTCCATTATGACACAATAATCATGGCAAATATCTGAAGCCGGAACTAAATGGCCCGCTAGTACCCGGAATTCATTTCTTGGCATCTCCTCACCAGGGGCCGCCCCGATTCGGAAAAAAGCTTATTGCAAAATGGCGGAAGGTTCATTTCTTCCCACGACCCCGGCTTGGCTTGGCCACCTGGAGATGGAGGTCGTTCCTTCCCATGATCGTCTAGCTGTTTATCGCTCAAAGTGGCGCATAAAAAAATTTGAACGTTCCCACCTCGTGATACAAAGTTGGGGGTGCATTTATTGAGCAAGGTGCAAGGAAATATGTTATATATTTTTATCTGGACTGTTTCCTTTTTTATATTGTGTGTTTTCTACTGTTTGTGCTCCCGTAGGGTAATGCCTTGGGCAATGTTAGGTCAAATGATTGAATTCAATTTTACCTTATCAGAAATTTTGGCATGCTAAGAGCATCAAGCACTAAAAAGGTAGTCAGTTGTTGTCCTTCTGTTAATGAATATTCATGTCTAAATCGCGCCCTTTCGATCATGCCTCTCAAGAACATCACTGCTTCGGCTTTGGCTGGAGAGGACGAAGCCAGCCTGATCGCCCATGAGGAATGGCTTATACGAGAAGGACGAAAGGCAGCTCCTGATGAAAAAGGAATCCATGAAAGGATGACTCTCACTGCGAGGAAGAGGCTCTCTGACATGGCACAAATGGGCATTGATGCTGTTAGGACAAGGTACCCATACCTGATGGACTCTCAGCGAGTGAGTCATTGCTGCTACTCTTCCGCTTTATTGAATACGAAGGTGTTGTTGACTTTTTTTTTGTACTCTTGTTTGAATACAGAAACTCTTATTGAAGGGACACTGACAGGGTGTTTATGCTCGCCGATGTTTTTAGTTGTACATGGCTTATGAGAACCCAACTGCCCAGAACAGAATTTGAGGCTCAAAATTCAGTTTCTTTCCGCCCGAGGACCGCCACGAGAACTGGCCGGTTCGAGTTGCGCTCTCTCTCTTTGTGATCACGGGCTGTTTTCTAAGGTTTAGACACAACCACCAAATTTAATCAAAGTCGTGGGTCATTGAAGGCACACAGTCAATATTAAAAATAGCAAAAAGATGAAACCCTTTTTTTGTGACTTCTAAAAAGCTGTTAATAAGATTATTGAGGAAAAAAAAAGTTGCACAGAGAACCAGACGCATTCTGTGCATTTCCTCGTTCAATAGCCCTTTTGCGAAATCCCCCAAGCGCCCTGGCCCGCGCGCGAGGAATTGTGGGAGAGACTGTCCCTGGCCTGGCCACTCTGCCTTGAGATCGCATTGCCTCGTCGCTCGTCTCCTCATAATCTTGTTTTTTGATTTCATTACCTATTTTTATATGTTCAAGTGTATATTTATTGGTTCTAAGTGTTTCTATTTTCTTCTGTGCGCAGTATTTTTTGCATATATATAGTTTTTGTCTTTATTATGCCTTTTTCGACGGGAGTGCTGACGAACAACAGGCCGCTTCGCGTGTCGTTCTCCGGGTGAGTGTTATCGTTGCTACTGGTTCCTGTCGTGCTGTTAGCTGTTCATTTTGGTTCACTTGACCCGCGTGCAGTCGTGAGGAGCCGTTTATGAACACCCACGCAGATGTCATAGGGGTAGGCAGACTCTAAATCAAGAATTGCGACGCGAGAGCAGAGTGCGCTGTGATTTAGCCGCCCGCGCCTGCTCCGTTGACTCGCAGTGCAGCGTATGCCTTCGGGTGCCGCTTGCTTGACCAAGATACAGCAAGCTGCTTTGTCGCTGCGAACCATTTGTCCGAATGTTTGCAAAGCTGAGGCATATGCAACGCTGTGGCATTTGACAACTGCGCGCTGCGGTGCGATCCCTTTGCAAATGCCGACGGCTCAATGTCGCGGCTTGAATGTGCCTATGGCATGCCTTCATAATCTTTCTTTTAAGCGGTTGTCATTTGCCAACGCCCTTTTTCAAGTGCAGAGATAAGTTGCCGCGAATCATTTGTCCGAATGCCTGCAAAGCCGTAGCACCGTTTGTCATATCCAACGCTGCGGTGCCTGACAAACTGCGCTCAGCGGCGCGAGCCCTTCGCAAGCGCCGGGCGGCCCAACATCGCGGCTTGTGTGCGCTTATAGTATGCCTTCTTAAACTACTTGCTAAGCGGTTGTCAGTTAAAAGCACCCCTTTTCAAGTGCAGAGGTGTGCTGTCTCCCAGGCAGTCATCTTGAAACTCGTAGTTCCTTCGATAATTTTATTTCTCTAGTCAAGATGTCAGCTCAAGGTATTTTATTTCTTTAGGTCACCTTCAGCAGTAACATGCCCTCATAGTACAGTTTGCTGTGTGCCAGGCTGTACAAACAGTACTGCCGGCGGACGGCATGTTTCCTGGCACTGCTTCCCAAAAGACAGCGTCCTGCGAAGCGTTTGGGTGAAGACAACTGCGTGCAGTTGTGAGGCGCTGCAAAGTTGGACATGCCGAACAGTGTTACGGTTTCGCAGGCATTCAGACAAATGATTCGTGACAGCAAAGCGGCGGGCTGTATCTTACTCAAGTAAGCGGTATTGAAGGCACATGCTACAGTGCCAGTCAACTAAGCGACGCGAGAGCCGAGTGCGATTGAGCCACCTGCACTCGCTTTGTTGACTCGCACCGCACTCGGCTCTCGCGTCGTGATTGTTGATTCAGAGCTCTGCCTACCCCTATGACATGGGTGCGGGTGTTCATAAACGGCTCCTCTCGACTACACCTGGGTCAAATGAACCAAAAATGAACAGCTAACAGCACGATAGGAATCAGTAGCAATGGTAGTACTCACCCGCGGAACGACACGCGAAGCGGCGTGTGCAGAAGAAAATAGAAACATTTATAAGCAATAAAAAATACAGTGGTACAGATAAAAATAGGTAATGGAAATGAAAAACCGGATTAAGAGGAGACAGGCGACAAGGCAATGCGATTTCAAGGCAGAGCAGCCAAGCAAGGGAGCCTGTTGAGTGTTAGCAACATCCTAGCTAATGCAGCGACCAACGACTTAGTTGGAAGCTATGGTTCACAGGCCAGGTTTGGAGATCCTATCAACTCTATGCCATACTGCATGAAAAGGACTCGAGGGTCCGAAAGAAAAGAGTAAGAGATTGCATGCGAAGAAGAAGGTTTGATATTTCATCAGCGTGATGTCTGTAGTACCAATTATTTCTCTGCACTCTTGCAAGACTTGCTTGGCAAGTCAATAGACATATTAAGAACTTCAGAGCAAAGGGAAGTTAAAAAAAATAATGTTACTAAAAAAAGAAACTTGCGTATTGTGTGTTCGTATGTTTGTTCCTAAAGCCCTTCCCACACCTTCAAGTTGTGGTAAATGGGGGATTCGGCCAACTCGCTGAAAGCCGACTCATCGACAGTCAATTCGTAATATAGGCCAATTTGTTGTAGGACAATTCATCAAAAGGCAACTTGTCGAAAGGCAACCTGGGACTGTCATTTAACCCATTCGAGGCCGATTCCTCGAATGAGTTAAATGACGGTCCCAGGTAAAAGTTCATGGTTCCTTGTTATCTTTTGATCTAAATTTTTATTTGTGTTTGGACTAGGGACAGCGGTCTTTTTAGGTTTTAGGACAGTACCTTGAGACAAGTTTAGAAATGTAAATTTCGGGATTGTCCTTTTGCTAGTTTTCTTTATTACTTTTTGTAATGAGCCGCTGCGGACTGTTGCCGCGAAGCAGCGTGGACGGGTAGGCCAAGCAAACTCACACGTGCCACAGTGATGCACACGCGACGTAGTAACTGTCCCCCACTGCACCGTGAAAGTGGAGAAAGCTGCAAGTTGTTATCTTCGACAAGAAAGAGCACACTGGATGTTTATTACGATACGGCGATATTACGCATTACTATAGGGCAGGATTTGCTTTAACATTTCAGGACAAAATTATATATTATGGCTTTGAAACAGCGGCGACCAGTTGGCGTCTTCGACTAATTTTTCTTCGACGATTTGCCTTATGACGATTCGGCCTATTCGACAAATGGGCTGCTGACGAGTTTACCGTCGATGAGTTGGCTTTCGGTGAGTTGGCCTAGACTCGGTAAATGGTAGTGCCAGTAAAATCTGAATTTAGGCGTTGTTTCTTGTTTCCCTTATTTAAATTAATGAACAAGTGCCAATTTCTTTGTAAATTTTATTAAAGAAATGCCGTGGCATATTTCCTGAACTTTCAATTTTTATATTTTCTTTTGTGAAGTTCGCTAAAGATTTCGAGAGGCTCACGAAGATGAACCTGGCCGACAAAGTCGCAAAAGGGATTGACAAGATCGTTCTGTTGGCCACAAAGAAGGCGATCGACTGCCAGGAGCATGTCCTACTTACACTGCAAGCAGCACCGCACATGGATCTGGGGAGGCTCAGGACACGGCGTGAGTACAGTAAGAAAACCGCTGCGCAAGGGAGGCTTTTCGACCAAGCGATAAAATACCACCATTCAATGCATGCATGGGAAAAGATAGTAAAAAAACAAACAAAAAACTTTCAGTCTTTCTCTTTTGTTGAGGAAGGAAGACTAGCGGAGCTGCACTATGGTGGGAATGAAGTAATGGACGATCGCTAGTCGGCAAGCCAGAGTGGAAAGGTTGCGGCCATCTATGATGGTTGCTGCCGTCTCCTATATATGGCGGTAGCTGTCCAGAGTTCTGTGTCATCGGGTTATTTGAGGACTGACACGACCCTGGGGAAACTAGCCGCTAACAGCTCCACTGTAAAAAAAATAACCGAGTTTATGTGTGCAACCACGTTGGCGCATTGCTCGGCTGAGAAGTAAGCGAAACTATAGCTTTCAAAATGCGGCCTTTAGGGTGGGCTGCTTTGTGCTGGCCTCCCCTGTATTGAAAGATGGAACGTGACTGGCACTCTCGCTATCAGCGCGCTCGGAAACAATAGTGCTACGTGCTGCAATTTTGCCGCTCTGGTCGTTGGTCGCTCGTGCTAATCTTTTTCTGCTGCAGCTGTACATGCGCAGCGCCTTGGCAGAGGAGAACCCTCTGCCAAGGTGCAGGCAGCGTGGTGGAGGGCCGTAGAGGACAGACATTTGGGCTGCACACCAGTGTATGGGGAATAACTTTGGGAGTTTGTATCATACTCCCAAGGTTATTTCCCCGTGGTGATTTGAATTGTTTCATACCATTTGGTGACATGTCCAATGGCTTATCTATAATATTATGTTGCACCCATTTAGGTCGTTCTGGTGTGTTGCCTTCTTTTCTTTTAGTGGGGACAGGCTTGGCCAAGTGAACATCTTAGTATTTGTCTGAAGTTCCCTCATTGTCACTGATCCTACTGGAAGATAAGCAGAACAATGCATACATTTTTTTTCTGAAACCGTCCAGGACACGTGCAACGAAGAGTACAAAAATGTATTTGATATCTTACACAAATGTTGTTGGTGTTTTTCAGACATCCTGACTGTTGCAACTCTGCGCATTTTGGCACTGAACGTCAAGGAGTCAACATCACTGCCCCTAATGTTCGTGCAAGAAGATGTAAGTTATTTCACTATATTTTTGCGAAAGTTGATGCTAGCAAGAACAAAGTTCCAGCCTACCTTCAATGTAGCAGGGTTAAATAAATGCTAACTAAAGAGGTTTTTTTGTTGTTTTTTGTGGGTAGAGTGTTCGTTTTTTTTTTGTTTTCACGGTATGTTTTTTCATAGTGCCCGCAGGGGCTAGAATTGGAGCCTTCTGAATACATATTAGTGACCATGTTGATGTCAAAGGAAACAAACATGTGAAATGCACATGAATACAAGTCCTGAAAAACCAATGAAGGCTGGAAGGCGGCAGGCATGCTGATCTTTCTCGGGTTTTCAATACAGAGACAGTGTAGCGTGTTAACTGGCTTCCAACAGTTCAATAGCAGCTTGTTCACCTGGCCCCTTTTGTTAATGGGGTGTCCCAAACATTAGGCCCACCAGGCCCCAAATACTTCTGTAACGCTCAAGAGATAATGGCCACCTAAATTACAGAGATATAAAGTAAAAATTTGAGGCGAACCAAGTTTCGGGTACAATGGCTGAAACGCCAAAAACCTAATAGTCTGGCTTCCAAAACACAGCCATGCTCAACGTGCCTCATGCTGGATTTTCACTGCTCCGGTTGGTGTTCGGACGGGAGAGATATGGCCAGCGACTGCACATAAAATGTAAATGTAGCTCGTGAAAATTAATTTATACAACTACATACGAGACATTGTTATGTTTGCTGTTTTCTGGAACCTTCATCTTTGGGTTTTTTTAGTGTAGAGGAGGAAGCAAAAAAATTAACATTGGCCAACGAACAAATAATAGCATGTACCGTTATGGTCAGTCGGTAGCCCTGTACGGTTCATAAATGCGGGGTGGCGAGGTAAGCAGGGTGCGTCCGTGGCAGACATAGATTGTAGCACCTGAGCTGCCTGCCTTCTGTCGGTGTTTGCCCCCTTTTTTCTCCTTGAAACTTGTCTGCCCTTGGCTATGTTCGCTGATACCGATAAGAACCCATTATTGCACCCAATGAGCGCTGACGACCGATGACACTGCCTGACAAAGCGCGTCTGCGCAAACATCCCTGCTTTTTGTCTTCTCTTCCTTCTGCACGTATTGTTTCTCATCTGTGCATTTGTTGGTGTCCTCTTATCCAAACAATAACCTCAAATGTACACAGGAAGGCTGCTGTCCGCATAAAGAAACCAGGCCACTGTAAAAGTGAGATGTGATAGCAAAGCGAAAAATCACTCTCATGGTGAAAACGAACCAGTGATGCGTCAGATTTTTGGCGTGACTTTTATTTTTTTTATCTCCAGACCTGTACTCATTTCCAACAATAAATAAGTCTAGCAGCGTATCATAATGCATCGGAAAAGTATCTCACTATTGAAATGCAAATAGGTTTCACAAATGCATCTTCATACTGAAATAGAGATACTAAAATATATCTCTAAGCTTATATCGCAATATTTTCATGTCGTGATGTTTCCCCAATTGTAATTCCTCATTCATTTTACATTGTTGCAGATGCCGGTTACTTATTTAAACATAAGCAATGCTCATGGCCTGAACTGGAGTGAATAATAGCAGTTGACAAGAGCAAACATGTTTTGGCCTTCTACATTAAAATATGTTGTGCCTTTTCCTTTTACCTAACGCAGGATGAAAACATCCCACCGACACCGTGTGTCCTGTACAGCGGGCAAGACTTAGAGGATGCAGACTTCTTTCACCTGGTTGTTGATCGTGAGAGGTTGTTCTCCGTTCCAAATGCTGAGGAGGGGCTGTGTATGTTGTTGGCAGCCTATTGGTTGTTCAGTATACAATATGAACGGAAGGCCTTCAACATGCTCGTCACTCTGGAGAGGCTTTTTCTCGGCATGAGCCACACAACTCCAAGGGCAGTGGTAATTAAATTTTTAAACAAAGTTTGCAGGCACGTGCATGGTTGAAGCAATGATTTGTGCTTCAACCACACGCGCATTAACTGCTTCGTTACGGTTCAGTTTGAGCTTTTTCTTTTTTTTTTTTTTTTTTTTACGGTGTTAGTTTGCAGGCTCTGTAAAAATGGATGTCCACCCACGGGACAGTGGGGCTTTACAGTTCAAGTAAGGAAAATGAACACATATTTTATTCAACATTTTATAAGTTAATTTTTACAAAATAGGTTTTGGGAAGAATAGCAAAACTGGAGTGATACCGGCAGAGAAATGAGGCTCATTTATTGGTACGAAAATCAAAGAAGCAGTGCCAGTCAGTTTCAGTGCAGAGGTAGATTTCACAGGACGTGCAATGGTGCTGAGTTTTCTTTGAGGAGCCAGGGTTCCTGCACTGTGTAGCATTCTTGACGTCTTCTTTCTTTGGCACGTGAAGTGCCTGCGCCGTCTGGACTGGCGAGTTCGGCAGTGGCTTGACTCTCTTGCGCGGAACCTGTGGCACCGCACAAACTTTCTAAAATGGCATCAGCCTGACTTGTTAGTCCTGAAAATCGAGCACAATCAATCAAACCAATTGTTTTCACTTCGCGAGTGTTTCAGATTGGTGCGAGCAAAACATGATCATCGCGAAATTCGTGTCATAAGTTTTGGGTCCCAGCGTCCACCCACGTAGACAGTTTGACAAGGGACTACTATAACCCTTGCTAATACTGTTGAAAATATTAAGCATTAGTGACCATCTGTGAACTTTCAAGAACTCTAGAAATATAAATTAACACAGCCTCCGTTTGTGTAAATCACATAAACTGATTACATACCTTGGCGTCGCCCGTAGAACATGCGAGTGCTGCAGGTCGCCATTTTTAACAGCAAGCAACAAGTTTTCAGTGCTGTTTGCTCAACACTCCTCCAGATGGCAGCACAGACTACGTCCATGACGGTGGACAGGCGTCCTTTTCTGTGTGCAACGAAGTTTTTTTTTTTTTTCTTCTTCTTACAATTCAAAACCCAATGTTTACACTGGTGGACGCAGGGTCTCAGGAGGTTATACAGGGTGTTTCACGAAAGGTGGACAAATTCAATATTGCAAAAACTGCTCGAAGGCTTGTGTCGTTTTGGCCCTGGGCTCGAGGCCTATTTAGGAAAACTTTTGAAGTCCGGGATAATTAGATTGTTAATTATTTTTGAGTAACTGACTTTTTAGTATTGTGTTTTAGGTTATGGTTTCAATTAGAAAATTGCTCAGCATCATTGAAAAACACTAGATCAACATATTACACAACAATAGAAGGCACGTGCAGCATCTTACGACTTTCTGAAAAACCTCACAAATGGGATAGGTTTTTAAGTTTCGGTTTGCTATTGGAGCGCATCTCGACCTCGACGGCACCATGCCCCGTGGAGAAATGGTGCAACCAGCCTCTGCTGCGTTGCGCAAGGACATCGCAGCAGAGGTTGCTTGCGCCATTTCTCCATGGGGCGCGGTGCAATCGGGGCCGAGATGTGCTCCAATTGCAAAACGAAACTTAAAAACCCGTCGAATTTGTACTGTTTTTCAGAAAGCTGTAAAATGCTGTGCACGCCTTCTGTTGTTGTGCAATATGTTGATCTAGTGTTTTTCAATGATGCTGAGCAATTTTCTAATTAAAACCATAACCTAAAACACAATATTAAAAAGTTAGTTACTCAAAAATAATTAACAATCTAATTATCCCGGACTTTAATCATTTTCCTAACTAGGCTCCTCGTCCAGGACCAGAATGACACAAGCCTTTTTTTTGTTGCGACCCATAGTTTTCGCAATATCGAATTTGTCCACTTTTCGTGAAACACCCTCTATGTGGATATTGCACTTTTCGCGACAGTATTATCAGGTTAATTTTTATTTTGCTTACAGAACAAATGATAGAATGTTTTATGGAGGCATGTTTTCTTTTTCTGTCTTTAAATGTATAACTTATGCCGACCTCCTGTAGGTGAGGTATAATTTATCTGTACGGGGGTTCCTCATTCCTAGTCACTTTCCAAAACTTTATAATTTTCTTTGTACTTGAGATTTCTGTGATATTTTTCATTACATGTTGGCAGATAGCATTGTTTATGTCAAGGAATGGCATACATTGTATTTTTTTTTTTCGTTTGTCTTTTAGGGCACAATAAATGTTCAATTTTACACATTCTAATTGATGTCATAATGAGCTTCACTTACTGAAATACTGCTGTGGTTCAGTCAAGGGCTAGACCGCCATGCTTCCAATTAGTAAATAGATATGCTTAAGGAGATGAGTGAAGCGTGTTTCCTGCAATCCTCTGAGACAAAACTTGGCACTTGATCTCCAAACAGGAAAGCTCCACATGCTTCATTTGTAAAAGCCCATTATGTTTATAACTATGGTTTAGCCGTGCAGTACGATGCTTGGGGCCACTGCTTGCTCACTTGAAGTTCGAGAAAGGGCGGCACCGGAAGCACTACCAGTTGCCCTCAGGCTTATGATGTGGCTTGCAAGTAGCTCTTTTGTATTACTTCATGAAGTGAGTTGCGTTCAATGTGACTCGTTCTTTCTTTATCATGTGCCTTGTATGTGATTTGGCAATACCCCCCAGGTGAAAAAAAGTAAATGTGTTTAGTAAACATGATAAGCTGAGAATCATGATAAGAATATCCAATACTTTATATGATTTTCGTACAATTTAGAATTTCTGATATGTGTATTGGACACATGCCTATAAAATTTTTACTAGGGCCTATGCTTCATTTCAGCTTTCGTCCGAGTGCGGCAGACGCTACCGGCCAATCCAGCATCGGCAGAGTGTCATGTGAGCTTGAACTCCACATAACCAAAACGTTGCATGATACTCTCCCGGCACTGGATTGGCTGGGGTGGCCCAGCATCCACTGGGCCACCCCAGGGGGCGCCCATTTTACGGCAAGCACCCTCTACCAGGGGTGTTTGGCAAGCACCCATTATAAAGGGTGTTTGCCTGAACACCCTAAGGGTGTTAGCCCTGGGACAAACTGGTGTACACCCTTAAGGGTGTAAAAACTTTTAGTGTGTACGTCGCTTTCCGGACGTGCTGCGTCACTTCAAGGTCTATTGACCGAAACGCAGATAACCCAAATGAGTGCGAAAAGACTTGCCTTCAAAGAGACGTCATGGTTCGAAGACGTAATGTTAATGCAAGCACGTTACAGAGAGATACTTCGCCGCTGCAGATAGCCTCTTAATTTCTCTCAGCAAGCTCTCGCAGCGGTCACTTTCGTCCCTTCGTAATGGGAAAATATTGTCGTCCTAGTTTTGTTATCTTGGGTCATTTACTAACAACCTCAAATGGTCACTTAATTGCACCAGCTGAATTTAGCTCTCTGATATATCATATATATCCCTAAGAGAGTGGACCGCCGAAGATGTGAGAAATGTTTACACAAATTTCTCTCTGATAACGACGTCACACTTTTGTTGTTACGTCATGGCCTGTAAAGTTGTTCCGCAGATATTTATTATTCTATTTTAAAGGAGCGGTGCAACGATATTCATTTGGAATGTTTTTTTGTTTTGTTTTTTTCACTTTACACGAGCTTACTGGCACGAGTGGGGCTCAAGGATACTCGCACGTCACCCCACTGGCCAAGAAACTCCTTTGTTGCGGTGTAATTTCAAGGAGAAAAGCGATGATTTTCATTCAATCTCTCTTTTGCAAAGTTTGATGACGTACCGTGGGGATCGCAGTACACCCCAATGACGATATTTGAGTCTGGTTCATAGCTTGGACCCGAGCTTTGCTTGGGCACTCGATTTGGGCTCGTGATAATTACTAGCTCGACATGCATTCGGGCAGTGGCCCGTGTCCAATCGCTGCAACGACGACAACAGCCGAGCCATAACAATGTGTGGAACTCAGCGCGTGTCCTGTGCTTTCCCAACCCCAGCGCGTGGCTATGATCAACAGTGGCGGCCTATAATCGGCTCCAGATCACGTGGCCGTTTGTTCTGGCTGCGAGTTGAGGGGATGAACGCTGCTCGTTTTAGAGCGCAGCTCTTAGGGGCCCGTTCCCGGCTTGAGCGCCGTCGCCGTCGCCATCGCCGTCGGCGTCGCCGTCGCCGTCGCCGTCGGCGTCGCCGTTGGCGTCGCCGTCGGCGTAACCAAGGTAACCCCAAGGTCACATGACCCCCAAGGTCACCCCAAGGTCACGCGACCCCCAAGGTCATCCCAAGGTCACCCCAGAGGTCACGTGACCCCTTTCCAGAGTCACGTGACCTTCGCAAGTCACGTGACACCCCCGAGGTCACGTGACCCCCCCCCCCCCCCCCCCGAGGTCACGTGACCACCCCCAGGATCACGTGACCACCCCCAGGATCACGTGACCCCCCCGCTGAGGTCACCTGACCTCCCAGATGACGTCACCGGCATCCGCATCGTCATCGTCATCATCACTGATGACGTCATCAGTGACGTCAGTGATGACCTCACCGGCATCCGCATCGTCATCGTCATCATCACTGATGACGTCACCAGTGACGTCACTGATGACGTCAACGGCATCCGCATCGTCATTGTCATCATCACGGATGACGTCATCAGTGACGTCACTGATGACGTCACCGACATCCGCATCGTCATCGTCATCATCGCTGATGACGTCATCGGAGTCCGCATCGTCAACGTCACTGATGACGTCATCAGTGACGTCACTAATGACATCATCGGCATCGTCACGTGACCCCTAAGGTCACGTGACCCCCCAGGTCACTTCACCCCCCCCCCCCCAGTACCCTTCCCTCCTCCTCCTCAAGAGCTGCGCTCTAATTCGGCGTTACAGGGAGTTGTAAACGGCTTTCACTTTTTTTCTTTAATTTTTTCTGGGACTTCTATTGCGTGAGGTGAAAAAAATGGAAGCCGTTTACAACTAACTCCCTGCAACGCCGAATTGGAGCGCAGCTCCTGAGGATGAGGAGGGAAGCGTACAGAAGGGGGGGTATATTCCTCATCCCTCGCCCTCCCTCGTGATCCTGCCTGCTACTCCTGAACGAAAGGGCTCCGGTTCGAAGCCAGCCAAGGGACAAGAGACAAACGTCTTTTGAAGTCATTTTTCGGAGTAAAAAAATTCTCATTCGTCCCCCCTGCTCATCCTCCCTGCTCCTCTCCTTTCTCCTCCTCCCCTCACGGGGGTCACGTGATCTCGGGGAAGGGGGGGGGGGGAGCGGAGGGGGTCACGTGACCCCCGGACCTGGGGAGGTCGCGTGATCTGGAGGGGGG